CCTATTTTTCTTGGTTGTTCTTCAAAGGGGAACTTTCAGAGAGGGGAAACCTTGCAGAGGCTCCCTTGAGCAGGTTCAGCTCTGTTCATCCCCTTGTCTACCCAGTTCCTGGAGGTGACAGCCACACCATAGAGCATCCAGCACTCCCTACTCTCATTAAACCTTTTCTTTCCCTAGATTTGATTTCTTAACCGAAAAGGAGAAATTAGTTGTGACCATTCATGGCATGGATGTTCTGGCATAGTTCAGAGAGTAGTTTTCAATTATTCTATCATCAACTCATTAAGTATCTCATTGCTCAAATGGCCAGTCTTCCAAGGTCACAAGTCAGTTCTATCAGAAGCCCTGAGCTCATTTTTGGAGCATGTAATATACAGTTAGCAGTGAAGGGAAAGTTACTTGCTAGGAGCTCAAGGCCAGAGAAGATGTGGTGGGGTAGCCTCTGGTGGTCCCTCCAGACTCAGGGCAGCCCTTAAGAGGGCAGAGGGGCAGTAGGTAGTAGTAACAATGAGGCTGAGGTGGGGACAGGAAGATGTTGTCCACTTCACATGTGAGTGATTTCATGTTAATGAGAAGGGTGTGATTTATAGACTGAAACGATTGAATTACTTTCTCTGGGAACACTCATGAGCCGAGCCTCAGAGTAGAAAAAGAAATGAACAAGTTGTGTGTCTTCTGGAGATGCAGGACTGTTCAGAGGGTTCCGCCAGTCTCCGCGGTTCCAGGGAGCTTGATCTGCTTCCAAGTATTTTTATGTATTTTCCAAATTGTCTGCAATGACGTACATTAATTTTATAATCAGAAAGAAAGTAGTACTTAAACCTGTAAAGAAGTCATTATGGGGACTGGGGTTATAGCTCCGTTTGTAGAGTGCTTGCCTAGCATGCACGAGGCCCTGGGTTCAATCCCCAGCACCACACACACACACACACACACACACACACACACACACACAGCCACTATGCAAGAGAGGGTAGGGCAGGAAGAATGTGTTTGGCCAACCACCGTGGGCTCTTCTAGGTACAGCTGAGGAGTAAGCACCTCTCAGCCCAGGCTCTTAAGCTGGGATACAGGGTCACCAGTTCAACTCCCACCTCCTCAGCCCTCTCTAGACTCACAGTTTAACAAACACATCAAGGCCTCAGGGCATCTCAGCATAAATGAATTTTGGAGCTGAGTATGACTAAATCCTTGTTTACACCTACCTGGAACAGGTGGTTTACCCCTTTATCTGTCCTCAAAAATGAAACTGAGAATCCAGGCATGATGTCCCACACCTTTGATCCCACTGACTCAGGAGGCTGAGTTAGAAGGATTGCAAGTTCAAGGCCTGCCTTGGCAACTTTTAACGTAACCTGTCTTAAATAAAAAAATAAAAAGGCAAGGCAGGGGGAGTTGGGGGATTGGGGGATGTAGTTCAGTGGTAAAGAGTCCCTGGGTTCAATTCCCATTACAGAAAAAAAAAGAAAGAAAGAAAGAAAGAAAGAAAGAAGAAATGAAACTGAGAACTCTTCAAAGGAGGCAACAGTCCAGAGATAAAACACTTGCTGTTTACGTAGACCTTTTGTGGACAGGTGAACCTGCTAGGCAGGGTGCCAGAGGAAGCAAATGAAGTGCCCCCAGAAGTTTCTCTATAGCAACTGGCCTCCACAGAGCCCCCTCGGTACCAGAGCATGAGGTGGTAACGCTCTGATTACTCTCACCTCTGCCCTACCTGGGAATGGAAGGCCATGCTGTGACTGTGTGAAAGAGAGTTTGGCTCAGGTTCAATCAGCAGTGCCCTGAAATTAGACATGTGCACCTGCTGTGGGACGGCTCTCTCCCACCCTTCTATTGATGTCACATGTGGACCCCTGTACACACCCAGGGTCTAGTCCATGCCCACTGCTGTGGGGTCACTCAGATCCTAGTGAGGGTACAGTCAGCCCAGGAGACTTAAGGAGTGAGGGCATCTTTCAGTGTAAACAGGAAGCCTTGGGCCACATCTGCCTTGCTAGTCCCTGGAGCTAGCCAGGAACCCACTCCTGTAAAATGAAGCTTCTTGTCCAGTAGGGAACCTGGCACCTTGCACACTGGCAGCCCTCAGCTGGGAAGAACTTGTAGCACCAGAAGTTCAGGTCTGCAGAAGTCAGGGTGGGGGATATGCGATCCTCTCCTCCTCATGTTGAGAACTGAGAACCTGACCCTCAACTGTCAGGGACCACGAGTATGCACAGCCCACACAGCCCAGGTCAGTGTCAGTGGATGGAGCAGGTGTGTGAGAGAGTGAGTGTGAGAGTCTGCATGTAGAAGTGTGTGAATGAGGTGCTACTGTATATACCTCGCCTTCCCTTTGGGTTTCTTTCCATTGGAACCCCTGGGGCAGAGGCCGCTACACCCTGGCCTTGTTACTGTATCATAAACTCTGTCTCACAGTGCCTCATTCTTCCTGGCCTTTCTACCATCCCATTTCAGGGGATTCCAGTCCAGGTGGAAGGTGAGATACGAGTTACCCCAGAGACTGGGGCTTGAGGGTCTTGTGTGCCTACAGCCTGGAGACCTGCTCACTGCCGTCCTTGCACACAGACCCTGTGCTGGTGCTCTAGAGGGTCCTTGATCTCTTCCTCCTTTTACTTTCTTTCTTTTTTTTTTCCACATGGTGCTGGGGATCGAACCCAGAGCCTTGTGCATGCAAGGCAAGCACTCTACCAACTGAGCTATATCCCCAGCCCGATCCCTTTCTTCTTTTTGCATTTGTGAAACCCCTTTCTGGCAGCAGACATGGAGTTGTCCTATTGCCACCTTCCCACAGGACTATCTTCCCCCTTTTGAATGTCATAGCAGCAAGATATTGAGAAATATTGATCCATCTGAGGAAAGCAATGTGCAACTCAGTTTTTAACTAGAGTCCATCTCCCACATTTTAGCATAGGCACTGGAAGTGGAGTTTTAGAGTAAGAACTTTGTCCTGGAGATATTTTTGAATGAAGACAATTCTATTTGTTATCTTAATCTGTGCCTAGAGAGAGGAAATAAGAGAAGCGATTGCAAATCTGTGTTGAGCAGGGCCATTCCTGGGTCAGCTCATGAAAGCTTGTTTCAAAGACTTGTCTAAGGGAGGTTGAATAGCCCAGTGCAGAAGCCACTTTCAGTTCCATCTTGGCTGATGTACAGACCCAAGTCCCCAAGTGCTCAGAAGCAAAATTGTCAAAGGAAACTTTAAGATAGTTCTTTACAAAAAAAAAAAAAAAGTCCTAGCCTCCCACCTTGAGGTTCATGGTTTAGAGCTGCACATTCCTTCTTGAGCACTGTTTCCACCTGGACGTACCTGACAGAGGAGAGGCTTTGGAGTGTACCTAGAGGCCATGCTGGCTGGTTTTGAACTGGCCCAAATGGGTCCTTGGTTTCTCTGGCAAATTGTCTTCAAATGCCAGGCCAGAAGGGTGGAGGTCAGGGCCATTAAGCTCCCAGGCTGCCTTCCCCAGGTGAAAGGGAACAACTGGCCTCACCTGGCACGACTTTCCATGAGCTTTATGCAGTGACGTACATTGCTGTCCGTGTGTGATAGAATAGTGAGCTTATCTTGCAAGTTGAACAGAAGCATTGCTGCTCTGGGAGGCTCAGAGCCTTGTGAACTCTTGAGTTTCTAGGCTGTGAGTAGACTGTAGATGCCAGAAAAGTGTGTCTGAGTCCCCAGCGCAGGCTGCAGGTAGGTTGTGTTGGATGGAACTGTTTCCCATCACTACTCTGTGTCATCTGCACAGAAGCTTTGGGTCAGTGACATGACTTCCTTTCCCTGGGAGAGGATCAGGATCAGTCACTTGTCTGTGGCCCTAGGACTTCCTTTCTATCACTAATGCCCATGGCTACCATCAATCCCTTGATTGCTTTAGGGGTACCCTCCTGTGACTGAACTGAGTGCCATGTCAGGTCCCGGGGCCAGCCTTCCCTTATGCCAGCCTTTCCCCATAGCCCTCTTTGAACTGCCACAGATGCATGTTGAGGGCCAAATCCATAGCCCTCACTGGGTCAAGTGTACTATCCTTCCTGGCCTGTAATTTTGTGTCCTGTGGAGGCCCAAAGAATGAGAACCAGGGCTACCATGCTCCCAATCCAGGGACTGTCATGGGAATAGGATTTATAGGTACAGCATTTCACTTTATTTCATCCTCATGCAGTTTGAGGGAGGAAAAAAGAGCATGCACTGTGCTCCTTTTACCCATAAGAAACGGAGGGTCCTACAGCTAACTTAAAAATGCACTTTGTATTCTTAGCTCAAATCTGAACTCTGGGGGAATCTTCTTTGGGTGTGAATTTTGAGACTATCGTAACGTGAAACATTATCATCTTCACAGCTTGCATAAGATTTCCCCAGCTGCCCAATTATAAGAATCCCCAGGAAGAGATTTTTTTTTTAAAAGCAACAAATTCAAGCCCCATCCTATTCCCCCACCCCAACATAAGCAGAATCAGATTTAATCAAGAGCAAGGACCATGGGCATTTGTGGATTAAATGTCTATAGTGTTTCTGGTGTGAACATTTAGAAAGCATTAGAACATTTATTGTTGGTGCTATGATTAGGGTATACTCCCCTCCAGAATTTCTCATTGTGATGATTCAAACGACCATGGTAGGGCCACCCTCTGCCTGGAGTCACCACAGATGTGTGGTCATCAGAGCTCTTGGTCTGGGACACCAAGGAGACATCTGGCAGGCTCCCTCAGAGCTCAGCTGTGTCTGTCCCGGCACTGCAGGGTTAGCCCTAGTGTTTCCCCCCTCACAAGCTCTTCTGGAAAGAGTAGACTGGCTTCTGTGAGCTGTGTGCTTCAGGGGCTGCTGCCTGGTTCACCCTGAGAGTCTTAGGGTGCCCCTGGGTTTTCAATCTGTCTGCATCAGGCCTGGTGTCTGCCCCTAGCACTGCTAAACAGCAATGAAAATTTTAAAATCAAGTTTTAATCAAGGGTCTCTGTGCTTTAATATGACAGAAGTCCCCTATAGCCCACTTGCTCTCTCCTTACAGGCCCCTCCAGTGATGATTCCCTGGGCGGAAGACTCCGGAAACTGAGCCTTGGACAGTATGATAATGATGCTGGAAGCCAACTGTCCTTCTCCAAGTGTGGATGGGGAAAGGCCGGCATGGACTCAGCCTCAAGCCTGGAGCCGTTTCCCTCTCCAGCAGATATCAAAGAGGTGTGTGCTGGGCCCCCTTCCCAACTCAGTTTCTTCTTCTGACTTTCTGTCCTAGGGCTCAGGACAACAGCTATGCTTAGCCCCTGAACACAGCTACATTAACCTCTTGTACCCACTTCTCTCCTATCTCACAGTCACCATTCTTCAGCTTCAAGGCAGGTGGTTTGATTGGGTGCACAGGTGTGTGGTCAGACAGCCTGGGTGGGGATCCTTATGCATCCAGAGATGACTATATGCAGGCTGCCTCACACAGGTCACCTGAGCCTCTGCATTCTGATGTGTAGAGTGGCCGCAGGTATGAAGCCCGTAGGTAGGTTGAGAGAGCTGGAGATAGGACAGTCATGGCCTTGGCTGGACTCCATAGGTGGACAGCACAGCAGACTTCTGGGCCACCACACAGGGCCCCGAATGTTCCATCTAGAACCTTTAGGATTATGTCTCCAAGAGGCTCCACCAACAGGAGCATCTTCGGTCTCTTCTGGAAAGTATAGTTAAGGCTTCTGATCAGAATCAGAGTAGGTCAGGTCAGCCAACCCAAATGATAACCCTCTTTATTTCTTCTCAAATTGGAGAAAGTTGAGACCTACAGAATATTCAGGAAGAAAAGGTCATTTGTAGTCTTAATTCACAAACAAAACTTATTTTGATATTTGGAATATTTCTTCCCAGTCATTTTTCTGTGCTGTGTGTTTAGCTTTTTGTGTAGTTTTACTTATCTATGGATGTACCCTAGTTAAAAGGATTAACTTTTGGGCTGGGGATGTGGCTCAAGCGGTAGCTCGCTCGCTTGGCATGCGTGCGGCCCGGGTTCGATCCTCAGCACCACATACCAACAAAGATGTTGTGTCCGCCGAGAACTAAGAAAAAATAAATAAATATTAAAAAAAATTCTCTCTCTCTCTCTCTCTGTCCCTCTCTCTCTCTCACTCTCTCTTTAAAAAAAAAAAAAAAAGATTAAACTTTCAGTCAGCGCCACAATGCACATTTCCCCTTGCTATTGCAGACTCAACTTCTTCAATATGCTGTATAATACTGTATTAATACGATGGATCATAAGATACTTGACTGTTCTATTAAACATGAATGCTTTTCCCCATTTCTATGGCTGCAGGGGGGATGCTGGTTTCCTTTTCTTGTCCTCTCTCTCAGATGAGGATTTGGATCCACCAACCATCCTGGAGGGCTACAGCTGTGTGCAGAGGACTTTGCCCTGACTCCACATTCTTATATTCTCCTTCCCATGCCAATTTCAGACGATGATCACTGCATATCCCCCAGACCTCGACATGATCGACGGTAGGATTTTAAATACCAAGGAGTCCGTATGTTCGACCCCAGCATTCCCCGTGTCTCCAGAAACACCATATGGTAAGAAAGAAGCACATTAGCTGTGTACAACTTGCCACCACAAGGAAGAGAGTGACATGCCCCTGCTGTGCTCTCTTTTCCAGTGAAAACATCTCCACGCTACCCTCCCTTCAGCCCACCTGAGCCTCAGACGAGCAGCCCTGCCAGTCTGCACAAAGGAGGACGGGGTAAGAATTCTCCCTGCTTTGGGTGTTGGAGAATGAGGCAGCTATAGGTACCATGTTCACGAGTGCCATTTCTCGAAAGACAACTCTTAGGTAGAGCTATTGCCATTGAGGTCAAATCTAAAAAGCGTGCATGACGATGGGTCTTACCAGGGAAGGTCTTGGGCTGTGGTTATAAATGTGCTCTTGGGTATGGCAACAATACAACATCAGATTGCTTCCTGGCATCCTGCAGGAGTGCTCCTGTTCAACACTCCCATCCTCTACTGAAGCACAGTCAGGTGGGTCTATTGGCAGTTTAGCATGGGTGCTTTAATCTTAATGGTTGCTAGCTTTACTAGTATGGATTTGGAAAGAAGAAGCCAGAATGCCCGTCCACCTTTCTGGAGAAAGTTGGTCCTAGCAAAGAGGAAGGTCTTTGCCTGCATTCTCGTGCATGGAAATCTCTAGATGCTGTTGCCCCTGCTTCCTGTCTATGCACACCTTTCATGGCTGCTTTTGGTCCTTTCTCCAGGGTCTCCCTGGTTGACCTTCAGTATTCTGTTTTGTGTTCATCTGCACAGCTGGCCCATGGAGGAACCATCTGTGGGACAGGCCTTAAGGGTGCCTACTCAGCACTCCTCTTAGGCGGATGTTAACCAGGTGCTTTGGGAGCCCAGGATGGGGCAAAGTCGGGCAGGAAGAGAGGGGATGTTACCTAGAGTTTCATACACATTTAAAAGTTGCCTCTCTCTCTGTGACTTTAGATTGTTTATGAAGCTGCTTTTCTACCCTGGTGAGGGTAAGCAAGGGGCCTTTTTCATGGTTATTGGACATATTGTTTGGGAATGAGGACAATTAAATTATATTTAATTCTAGCTCCATACCCAGAAGCAGCTGCAGCAATGATAGCTGGTTCTCCTTTCCCTCTTTGTCCAGAAGAAACCAAGTCTCTGTTTAATTTAATGAAAGGGCAATGCTTCTGTCATCCACAGTATATAGCAATTAAACTATCTCAGCAGGCATGACTGAAATTTAATGTAAGAAAAAGTGTTCACAGCATTGCTTCATTTCTGCTTCATTATATGTGCATTACACTCAGATGAGTGGGGGTGGCTGTTTAAATATGCATTTGAGTGCATTGGGCTCACACATGTAAGGCCACACATGTATCTTTTTTATGTTTATAATTTAGGTAGATGTCAAGAGAGGAGCATTCTCTTCTACCCCACATAGTCCCTTCCTTCTCATTGAGTCAACCACATTTGATCACTAAATTGAACTTATATAGTGAATTTGAACTAGAACCCACAGCTCTCTGGCCTGAATTATTTCCTGCAGCACCAAGACTAGATTCATTCAAAATGCACAGATGACTAGCAGTGGAAAGTGAGTCATAAACTTGAGGAAAGAAGACATTAGAAAAAGCTTTCAAGTTCACTAGCAGCTCATGATCTTCTGGAATCATTCTTTGAGCATTAAGAGAATTTTGAGTCTCCACTAAACTCAAGAAAGGCCTAGGAAACAGGAAAGTGCCTCGGAGCTGACAGATATATGCCAACTTGATTGTTTCTGCCTAAAGATGGGCAGCGTTTCTCCTCGTGTGAGCAGGATGGAGCCCTGCACACCATGTGGTGGATTTCAGCACAGCCCATGCATCTATGCAAATATTCACTGGGAAGAAGTGGGCTTTGCTTTTTAAATATAGAACCAGACACCATAAGAGTAATGAATCTTCTGAATTTTTTACTCAAAAGTTTCCAGGAAAGGTTGACTTCTTATTAGTTCCCAAGAAGTACAGAGACCCATAACTTTGGCTTAATGGATGCTTTGGTCCTTGAGCCCCTGAGCTTGCCTGAGAATATCACCTACTCTGCAAAGTCAAACAGAGTCATTGGACTCCACTGAAAAGGATTAAGTACAGGACTTTCCCTCTGTTTTTTTATAAGATGCTTTGCTTTAATTTGTAAATGGTATGAGGTTATTCTTCATGTTGTCCTCATTTTACAGATAAGGAAACTGTCATAAAGGATTTGAGGAAATTGTCTGAGCCATGTAACTAGTCAGTGGTAAAGCCTGAATCCAGACCAGTCAGCTTGACCAGTGAGTCAGCCACTGACAGATGTCATGACTGAAAGAGCACATGGCAGATCTTAGTCATGGATGACTATGACTCAAATACTTGGTGAACGCTATGAACCTCCTCCTCTGTTCTAATCTCTACCATTCTAACCACTGTGTGGTCCTCATGTAATGTCCTCTCTATGTCTATAGTAATGCCTGGTCATGTATCATTTACAGCTAAACAGTGATGTGCGTATAAATGAAGTTCCAGTCTTAATTAATGGTGAGGAAATCTTCTGAGGAATGTGTCTTAGGAAATTTAGTTGTTGTGTGAACATCATAGAGTGTATCACACAAACCAAGATGGCTATGACATTGCTAGTCAATATAATCCTAGAGTCACCATTGTATTTGCAGTTCACTATTAACAGAAATGTTATTAGGCAGCATGTGATTTTGTTTTAAAATATCATTGATGGGAGGCTGTGCTTCCTGCAGGGCAAATTAGACTTACTTTTTCCTATTCTTTCTATTAAGTACAGCTAAAAATCCCAGCCAACATATAAAAAAAAAAATATTAAAAAACTACAACTGAAAGGTAAGGAGGAAAATGTTGACTAGCCAGGAACGTTGGGTAAGTGACCCAGAGTAGACTCTAGACTGGATTAAAACCATGCAGAGCATATCTTTAACTATAATGGAATTAAACCAGAAATCAGGAAAGGAAGTAATATGAAAATCTTTTTAAAAACATTTTAATATTTTTTAAATAATTCTTGTTTTTTATAAAAATGAACAAAAATTATAAATCCAAAATTAGGAAAGAGAATATTTAAAATGATAAAAGTGCTGCAAATATTACAGACACAACCCGATATAAAAAGGGAAAATATGTATTGATTAGTTACCTGACTCAATCCTAAAATATACATTTTAAGTTATTGGTTTGATTAACATTTATGAAAAAATAAATATTATGAGATGGGGCATACATTAGAGAATTCAAACAAACACATTTTTAAAAAATACGTAGAAATGAAGTAATATCCTTATGAATATTCCATGAGTCAAAGAGGAAGGAAGTCTCAAGGGAATATGCAAAAACATGTTGAATTGAATAAAAACAAAAGTAAAACATCAAAATTTATGGGGTATAGCCAAAACAGTGCAGGGAGGAAAATTTATAGTAGTACGTATATACATTGCAAAAGAGAGTCTGAAATGAATAGTTAAAACTCTTATTTCCAATGCCTAGAAAAAGCAGAGCAGAGTAAACTCAAGGAAGGAGATACTCAAAGCAAGCAGAAATGAATAACACTGAAAGGAGAAACAATAGAGAAAATAAGTGAGAGAAAGAAAAAATTGATAGGAACTAGAGTAGCCAAAACAATTTTGAAGAATTAATGGGAAGGGAGGGCCATTCCTAATTTGAAGGCTTAGATTGCTATTGTGGTCAAGACTGGTGTTGGTGAAGGCACAGACACATAGATCAGTGGAACAGGATGGAGAACCCACAGATAGATCTGCACCAAGTGTGCCCACCTGACTTCGACAGAGGAGCAAAGGCAAGTTGTTAGAGCAGAGACGACCTTCCAACAAAGGTGCCAGGGCAATTGAACACCTTCAGACGAGGTATTGAACCTCAAGTGGCTGTCAGTTTATGCTGAAACTAACCTGAAAAGGATCTTTGTCTCAAATCCAAAAGAAGTAAAACTATAACATTTTTAGAAAAAAGTAAGAGAAAACCTTTGGGATCCAGGGTTAGATGAGAGAGAGAGAGAGAGAGAGAGACTTGACATCAAAAGCTAGAGAGAGAGAGAGAGAGAGAGAGAGAGAGAGAGACTTGACATCAAAAGCATGAGCCATAAAAAGAAGAACTGATAAACTAGACTTCATCAGAATTGAAAACTTGTGCTATGGTAAGAGGCTTTGAAGAGGATAAAAAAACAAAGTATAGACTGGGAGGAAATATTTTCAAATCATCTAAGAAAGGAATAACATCTAAAATACATAAAGTGCTCTCACCACTCAAAAGGGAAAAAAGTAAACAAGTGGACAAGAGACATAAAGAGACACATCACCAAAGAAGATGCATAGGCGGCAATTGAGCACATGAAAAGATGCTCCGTGTCTTTATCTATTAGAGGAATACAATTTTTTTTTCTTTTTTTTTTTTTTTTTTTTTTGCACTGGGGATTGAACCCAGGGGTGCTTAATCACTGAGCCACATCGCCAGCCCTTTTTATGTTTCGAGACAGGGTCTTGCTGAGTTGCTTAGGTCCTCACTAAATTGTTGAGGCTGGCCTTAAACTTTCGATCTTCCTGCCTCAGCCTCCTGATCATCTGGGATTATAGGCATGTATTATCACAACCATACCAGGTGAGGAATGGAAATTAAAGCCACAATGAGTCCTCTCTACACGCCTATCTAAACAGCGAAAATAAAAATAGTGACAACAGCAATTGCTCATGAGGATGTAGAGAAACAATCCTTCAGATACTGCTGGTGGGAATGCTAAACCTTGCAATCAATTTGGAGAACAGTTGGGCAGTTTCTTAATAAAAAACAAAAACTCAATAGGCACCTACCATATGACCCAAGTGATTGCATTCCTGGACATTTATCCCAGAGAAATAGATTTATGTTCACATAAAAGCCTGTTCACCTGAGGAAGTTTGGAGTTGTGGCTCATTGGTAGAGTGCTTGCCTCACATTTAGAGGTCACTGGGTTCGATCCTCAGCACCACATAAAAATAAAATGAAGGGATTGTGTCCATCTACAACTGAAATAATGTTTTTAAAAAACCTGTTCACAAATATTTATAGTAGCTTTATTTAAATAGCCCAAGTGGGGAAACAATCTAGATGTTCTTCAATAAGTGGGTGATTAAACAGATGGTAGTACATCACTACTGTGGAATACTGCTCAGCAGGCAAAAGGAATTACTGATACACACAT